ATATTCGAATCGCAAAAAAGAAATTGGAGGAAAGTTTGAGTAATATTACATTGCATCTAGCCATCTACAGGGTTGTTTTGAGACAATGTTCCAGTTAAGTAATTGATAATATTGGTCGGTAAATACGAGTAACTTATACTGTTATACTAAATGAGTTTATTAATACGAGGTATGATGTACGGAGTATGTATTAAGTTTATAGCTTCATAGTTGATGGGTAATGAGTGACTGAGAAATTAATTTTAGAAACGTACGTAATCGTAGTCTTTAGGAAGTAAAAGTTGCAAGTATTAATTTCTGTGATATAAATTGTTCTTATTATACCGAGTATTAGTCTTTGGCGTACGCATAGAAGAGTGCAAGTCAAATTGTAAAGCCGAGTTTCACATGCTTAGACTCTTGTATGTACATTCTCACGAGGTTTGTGGGCTCAGAGTTGATAGAGAGGACTAACAATTTCAAAGTTTTCCTATTTTGAAGGTTTATAACTTTAGACGATGTTAATTTTTAAGAGAGTGCCACTTTCAAATCCTCTGTGCGGCACCTCCCCTGCATCTTTATCTCTTCCGCGGCTACATGCTCAGCGCAACATCCGCACTACTAAGCTAGTTTTCAGCGGTCGATTTCCCTCTTGTTAGGGTTTTAGTGTCTCCGTCCATCTTTTTGATTGGACGGCTCTTCGATTTGGGATTTACCCTTGCGACGAGTTTCTTGGTATGAACAAGAATCAGACAGTAATAGTGAGATGATGACCTCATCCAGTGAAGGTCATGAACGAAGACTGAGGTTAAAGACTAGAACATATCTGGACTCAAGGTCACTTGTAGTTTGTGGCGAAAGTAGAAGTTTGGCATAGAACATGATGAATAATAGGTAGGGTGATGAAAAAGGTACAGTACTGCTGGATCTTCCCCCTCCTGAACCGCCGCCATGGAGTGCTGGATAATATAGAGTTCAAAAGAAAACGAGTGAACTTTGTTTTGATTTCATTTTATTTTGTTTGTGTTTTTATTTTGAATTACATGCTGTTTTGGTTGTGTTTTTATTTCCAATTGAAATTCTTTTGATAGGTAGGGTTTCAGTTGCAGTCGTTTTAGGCTTAAATTTGTCCGTTTCAAGTTTAGCGAGGTGGCTGACTCTAAGTCTACTCTTATGGTTCACGATTGGAGCTGTAAAACCTGTCTGAAGGTTGTCTTGTATGCGTTACCGTTTTTAATATAAAAACCGTTCTTATATGATAAAAAAAAGTACCACTTTTAATAAGTTATGATACCCCTTAACTTTTATGTGGGTTTCCAAAAAATTAATATGTAGTCATAGTTATAAGTTTTATTTCTGTAATTGTCATGTATTACTCCAGAAGATGTACAATGTAACTTTTTATTATGTAGTTTTTACAAATGGGCAATATAGATTTTTTAAAAAGATTTGATTAATGATTTTGCTTCGAATACTGCTAGAAGGAAAACCATATAAAGTGAAAACCTGAAAACTCACCGACTATATAATTATGAGTTTTTTTTAAAGTTGTCTAATTTGTGTGCTTTAAATATTATAAAATTTATATTTCACTAAACTATCTAATACATTTCTATTTCGTTAAATTTATATTATTATGTAATACGGAGTACTGTTTTTTTTGTTATCTTTTATGGGGCATCAAATCGTCATTTAGAATACAGCTTCTAAAATGTACTACCTCCGGCCCATATTAGATGTCTTATTTTAATTTGACACGATTATTAATAAAGTGATTGAATAATAAAAGTTGTGGTTAAAAATTGAGTAAAATAAAATGAGACGAAAATGAGACGAAAGGAGTATTAAACCGCCCTAATAGTGTATCAAATCAAAAGTATTTCCATCCTCTTGTACGAAAATCATTTAGGAAGGGTCGGCTAAACAACTCAACCCCGGACTTTGCTCCCATGAACAGGTCTTGATTACAGGGATTTAACTCATCCACAAAAGACTACTCGGACGTGCACACGGATGAGCTATGGCGTACATGCTAGCCACTAGATTTCCGAGCAAATGTTTTAGGCAAGAATCGAAATGTACAACAACAACAACATTGCCCATTGTCGCAAAAGTTCCCAACTACGATGGGGTAAGGGGAGGAGGTCGGATGTACGCAATTTTACCCATGCACTAAAGTATAGAGAGACTATCTCTATATGATCCATACTGAAAATCGTGTTGATAATTTGCTAGATTGACTGTTACTTTATACTAGTAACTAAGAAGGACCTACAATTTAGTGAACCATTTTACATATATTCACTCAATCAATTCAATTTTAACTAGATGATTAACATATGTGTTCTTCAATCCATTATCTTCCCTCTCCTAGTGGCGAATGGGTGCCAAATTCCCGGGGGGCTACATTCCATTTTGACACCACCCTCTACTTTCTTTTGTGGGTTGGAGTTTCCTTGGGATGAAAAGTTAAAACATAGCTATTGTATCCTATGGTTTGCTACCAACCTAAATGGTGCACGTACATTTATAACGTGTTTGATAACACTGAAATTGACTAAATCATCTGAATTTGTTGAAATTGATTAAGTTATGATTAAAGCGACTGAATGAGCTGAATCTACCAATTATGGAAACATATGAATGAAATATTTTTAAACAAAACCAAAGTATCAATTATTACCGTCGGCTTCAGTGAACTCTAATGAAACCAACGTACCAATTTTAGGATTGATTTAGTTCAGTTGAACAAAACCGTTTTAAATTTGCCCAGCCTTACTATCCGATGAGTAAAGCAACAAGTGCCATCAAGCCTCTGGTTACATCTTTTATAATGTTATATTGTTTGACTGTTTGCTAATAGATGTATTCTGAAGATTCCAACTTCATCAACCTCGTTATGGGCGCAAGTATACGTGAGGCCCGTGAGGGTGTAAGAGTTGAATTGTGTAATTCAAGTTCAATACTTCAATTCACTAATTCAGGTAAATTAGTAGGGCACAATAGTCGTAGCCTCGTAGGAAGAGTATTGCTTGTCACTACGGAGTAGTACGTACTCTCTCCGTCTCATAATTATCTTCATTCTTTCCTTTTTGGTCCGTCCCAAATTTATCTCCTCTTTCCTTTTTTAGCAAAGGATTTGTGGTTCACAACTATTCTTACACATTTCTCTCTCCTTTGCACAACTCTCCACCACACATTTCCCACTTTCTTAATCTCCGTGCCTAGTCAAAATTGAAGTTAATTCTGGGACGGAGGGAGTAGTATTTAATTAAAGTGTGGTCGGTCCATTTTTTTTTTAAAAAAACAAGGTATCCAAAGTTACCCATTTAAGTTTTTAGCACGTTTTGTTTCCAAAAGAAAAATGTGCGATGGAATCACGTTACATGTATTTTTACATGGAAAACAAAACTACTAGTCAAGTGCAGAAAGTGTTTACTCTTGTTCTATAATGTGACTTTATTGATTCGATATAATGTTTACTAAAACCTAATGGTCATTTTCATCCTTGAGATATAAAAACGAATGGCCATTTCCACTTTTGAAAACTAAAAACTCATGGTCGTTGATCACAGATTCACAGTTGTTTGTTAAAACATGGGAAAAGGTTTTAAACCACTCATATTTTTTTTTGTATGGATCTTACTCGGCATGATAGTGAAATAAAAATCTGATATAACTGTTTTAAAAAAAATCTGATAAAACTCATCGCACTGAAAATTATATTAAAAAAATTGTATTTTACGATGATAAGTAGGGTTTAACCGGCCCGGTTATGGTCGCCAGACCGGCCGGTTATGGTCGCCAGACCGGCCGGTTATGAGGAAATAATATAGGGGCCTAGGATCAGGACCTATATCACCGGTTCTGGACTCTGTCCAGTCTTGGTTTTATTTTTGTGCGGGGAAATTGAACGCATTATGAATGCTTTCTGGTGGACCGGGTCATTTAGAAGGGGTATCCGCCAAAAAGAGTGGACGAGAATGTGCAAGTCGATGTCAAAAGGAGGAATGAGGTTCAGAAGTGAAAACTTTAACTTAGCAATGCTTACTTAAAGTGTTACAGGCTGGAAATCTATCAAGAATTGGAAGGACCCTTGGTTGCCTAGCCTGGAGAATCTAAGAGTGACATCTGATGTAGTTTAGTCCTTGGAAGAATCCTGGTGGTTAGCTTAATCGAAGAGGGAGGGGCTGATTGAGAATTTGTGATGATATTTATTAACTGATCTCTTTGGTGGCAGGGACGAGGAGCTGATTTTAGGTACACCCGTGAGCTAAAAAAAGTGGCAGAACGATTAATATGGTCGCTGGAAGGAAAAGGGCAATATACTGTGAACAATGGGTACCCGTTTCTATCTATGTACGACGAAGAGCAAAAGAACCTGTGGACTTGAGTGTGGGATTCGCATATACCCCAGAAAGTTAAGGTATTTTTTTGGCAGCTTTGCTCCGGGAGTTTGCCCATAGCAGATAATCCGATTCGGAGGGGAGTGAACTGTTCTCTATCTGTGTAGTGTGTGGTCAGGAGAAAGAAAGTCTGCTGCATATCTTCCTTCCAACTGTGTAGTATCGCAGCAACTTTGGAGCTTGATGGGCGGTAATTTTGTTGACAAGGGGGAGGTGTCTTTTACGGACGGGGTGAATGAGGATTTCGATAATAACAATAATGTTTTTTGCTGCAGATTTATTATGTGTTTATGGAGCATAGGGAGGTATAGGAATGAAGAACTCTTGAATAATAAACCTGGTTCAGCCGTAAGTTCAAAATTGATGCCAGTTCTTTCCTTGATGGGTGCCGAAAGACGCAACAGCAGCCTGGAGTCAAGGATCAAGGACAGCAGAGCTTGAAGTTATGGAACAAACCAAATGCTGACAGATTGAAGCTTAACATTAACACAACAATTAAATGTGGATCGGGAGTCACCGGTTTGGGGTGAGTGGCAATTGATTACGATAGTACTTTTTTGCCAGACGGGGTGCTATTCAAAAGCGAGGTGAATACATTCCTTCTGAAGCTGAGGCTTTGGCAAGGAGAGACACACTTAATTGGATAAAGGAAGCTAGTTGGGATTGCGTTGAAGCTGAATCCGATGCTTTGCAATTAATTCAGAGTGTTCAGAGTTCAGACTGAGTGATACAAATCTTCTCTTGGTCTAGTAGTTCGGGACTTCAGGATATAAAAAAGTTAGCGATTTATTTTCTTATCATTACATTCTTTCATGTGAAGCTGCAACAATTAAGTAAGCAAATTTACACATTCTTAAAGCCCAGTCCTATTTAGTGCCAATGGAGTAATCTTCATGGATTTAACTTCTCTACCAGCGTTCCGCACTTCTGCGTACAAGATTAGTATTTAAAATCATCATGGTGATTGGTTTTTTAATGAACCACAAGCATGCTTCAATATGCTCAAGGTTTGAGAGATGGAAACTTGTAATAAATCTGAAAACTTCCCCTAGTGCTTACATATATAATGTACATTGAATCAGAGAATATCAGGTTACAATGGTAAGTACTCATATATCATGTGATACAAAAGTCATGTAAAACTATTCCCAATTTCCAGAATCCCCTCAATATACCTTGATCAGTCACTCTCGCTATCTGATATGTATCTCCTAGCGTCAAACGGCTCATTCTTTGAAGCTGTATAATCCATATGAATATTGTTGGCCTCATTCACTGGAGCGAATGCTGTGAATTTGTTGAAGATAAAGATATAATCAGCAAAAAAAGATTTGAAATGAGGTATCTAGTGTGGAGTAACTTATAAAGAGTGACCAGAGTAACCCGACAAATCACTTCTAGCTTTAGAGCTTCTTTGGGAAGTTGGGAACCTAGAGTTTCGTTTATAATTTTAATCATGTCTGAAAATATTCTGCTTTTAAAACAATCTTTTGCATTAAGTTTCAGCTGTGGTTTAGCTGGAACTCGGTAATTTGCAATTTATGGTTATAACTCCATTTTATCTTTCAGCTCTTTTCATACAACTTTGACCTTGTAGGCCTGTACGGCTGTACAAATTAATTTCTAATTGCACCCACACAAAATTAATTTTTTTTAACCACATTCAAGCAAACCTTTAAAAAGAATTATGATGGCAATCAACTATTCATATAAATATACGTAGTATAATCTGAGGACCATCTGACTTAAAAGTGGTTAAAAACAAAGGACAAGAGCAACTGGAAAAAGGAAATATAAACATAAATAAAAAAAACTTCAAAGAAATGCAAAAAACAACCGAGATATAAGAACTACACAATCTCACCTCTTTCTCTCGTTCTTCTTTCTCTGTCATACTCAAACTTGTCACGGATTAACCTAACCCTATCGGAATTATCATCTTGCCTATCCCTAACAAAACCATGACCCTGCAATTGAAAACGATAAGTTGGGTCAGACCAAGTTATACTGCACTTCAGATGGGAGAGTCTGTAGATGAGAGCTAACGGAAGCTTGCATGTTATATAGAAATGAAAAATAAATTATACGGAGTACTACACATTCTGTAAAAGGTTTAAAGTAGGAAAAGTTCAAACTAATCTATATGAAGATTAATGATGCACAGTTCAGAGCTCTAAGCATACTCTATAACCGTAATACAATGGTCAGAGTTTTCACCTTTATTTGTTCTGTATAAGATTTGCTTCTCCTGCAAATAAATACACACATTATTGACTTCCACAACATCTCACAACATTATAAAACCAATTCACATTATGGAACACAAAACACAGGGTTAGAAGGCCAAATAATCACCAATGAGAAAGGAGGCAAAAATGGAGTCAAAGTGGACCAACCTATAAGGGGAAAAGTCCTCATCATCATCTTCAGCAGAATCATAGTTTGCATGGTCTTGACCAAGTTTCTTAGAATAACCTTCGTCCCAGTACAACCTCTCCCAATTTTCTCTCAGCTCATTATATAGCTCCATATACCTTTTTGACCATGGTTCATGCTCCTGTTAATCAAGGTTGGAAATCAATTAAGCACAAACTATTGGAAACCTGCTTATTACCAGAATAATCTTTAACAGAATAGCAGGTAGAGGCAACTTACGAGTTGGGTTCAATAGGTCATGCAAAATCTGAACACAACCCAGCTTCTAGTATTAGTAATTATTGCGTAAGTATAATAAAATATAACATTACTAGAGAATTGGCTAATTGAATACTAAAGTTTATGAATTCCTGATAGGTCGTAAACACAAATTAGAAAATCAGAACCAGTGCAAAAATCATATGCAAATAAACAGATACATTTTCAATAAACAGAGCATATAGGAATTCAATTACAAGGAAAAGGGAGAGAACGAACGGATTCTTTGAGGACGAGGCGAGTGCGGCGCATGAACTGTTCCCGGAGCTGTTTACGGCGCTTATTGGGGATGTTCTCTCTAGGGATTACAAACCGTTCTCTCGGAGGCACGTTTTCGCCGATCTCGTGCATTTCTCCGTCAACCACCCACCACTCGGATTTCTCGTCCACCTTCCTGAGCAACGTCGATGGCGATAGCTTGGAACGCCTCCGTCGGGATGGCGGTGAGCCGGCATCGGTCTTAGCGGACCGCAGTTGTAGATTGAGGGACTTCAGGAAAGGATAAGAGCTCCGAGCTCTTCTGGCGATAGACAACATGAAGAAGAAGAAGAAGCCCGTACTTTTCCCGGGGTTTACTGCAGAGGTTTGTTCTCCGGCAATAGGGCATTACTCATTTCCGACTTAAGAGGGAGTTGAAATTGAAAGCCTCGGAAACTACAGGGACTTCACTGCAATTGTTTCTCGATACACAATCCCAATAAACAATACGGCGCCGTTTTCGAATCGTTCCCGCCTTGCTTTTGTTCCCCATTGCACAACCGCAGACGACAATTGAGAAAGCACGTTGAAGTCGCCGGCGCCCGGAGTTGGAGGTGATACAAAGAAGCTATGTGCGGTCGAACTCGCTGTACTCTTCGAGTGGATGATTTCCCTCTTGCATGCCACGTCTCCGGCCGCCGCGTCCGTCAAGTCAACTTGGACCGGTAAGTATCAACCAACTAAAGTCTTCTATACATATACTGGGTATTTTAGTTGTTGATTCTCTTTACTCGAGTAAGTGAAGTACTTCTGTAAGACTTCTGAGTTGTGCAAGTTATTTGTAGACGGAAAGATGATTCACGGTTTGATTTACGATAAAATTTTAGGTATCGGCCGTCGTATAATGTGTCGCCAGGCTTCAATGTTCCGGTTGTTCGGAGAGAAGAAAGTCCCAATGAAGACGGTGCTGTTGTCCACTGCATGAAATGGGGGCTAATTCCCAGTTTTACTAAGCAGAACGAAAAGCCAGACCACTACAAAATGGTAACGGCCATTATTGTCATGGGTATTCTAGTTTACAGGAATTGCTGCCTTTTTCTTTTGACAAATCGCAAAAAAACTGGAAAACTGTTCTCTGTATTTACGAATTCTGCATTTGCTATTGAATACCTTATGTATTACATGACATCTATGATCGGAATGGTTAATAACACGCTAATGAATGTAGTTCAATGCTCGATCTGAATCTATAAAAGAGAAGGCTTCTTTTCGCCGTCTCCTTCCTAAAAACAGGTGCCTTGTTGCAGTGGAGGGGTAAGTGCATTCTGTTTTATGTATCTGTTTCGGGTGAATTGGTTGATTTAACAAAGGGTTGTTGAGAAACATCAAAGATGGTGTTATGAATGAATGGTAGAATTAGTATGTCAGTAATATAAAATATTTTCCATCTCCATTGTGCTCTGCTATGAGTGAATGTTACTTACAGCATATGGCCATTATGCTCAGGTTTTATGAATGGAAAAAAGATGGGTCGAAAAAGCAACCTTTCTATATACATTTGAAGGATGGTCGGCCACTTGTATTTGCTGCTCTTTATGACTCTTGGAAGAATGGGGAAGGTGAATCACCATATTCTTTCATTATCTTATGGGCTATTGTGCAAAACAAATTTCTTGGGATTAGGTGTTTTGATTTGATAGTAGTGTATTTCAAATCTTGGTTTCTTAGGTAATGTGTTTTTATGGGCATCCATTCTATGCCCTCTTCTGGTGTTGAGCGAAACCTTAACTTTTCTGTATACTATCATTACTATGTAAGCTATTTTTCTGTCTTTCATGCAGGAGAAGTTATTAATACATTCACTATTGTGACTACTTCGTCCTCATCATCTTTGCGATGGCTCCATGGTTAGTTTGTGCATCTCCATACTTCTCACTATTGTTGTCAAGGAATGCATTTTTCCAAGTTGTTCTTCACTTCATAGTTGGTAACTTGGTATAATGGCACGTTCTTATTTAGATACGCAAAGCTATATCTATTAGGAGCTCCAAACCTGCACGATTAATCATTACACCCTTAAAAGGCTCCCGTGTTGATTTTTGCTTTGGTTTTGATCCCACAACTTTGGTGCTTCTCACTTTGTTCCTGACTTGAAAAAATTAATCTGTTGATGCACGAATTTTATCACCTGTTGTCCTTCAGAGCATATTTCTTTGTCTGTTTGGTCGAAAGTATTCTTGGAACTTTGGAAGGGCTATTTATAGAAGAAGCCATTGTAATAATCTTGAATATGAGGACCACAAGTCATCATTGAGAAAAAAACACAGGACAAAAATTAATACTAGTATTTATTCATTTTCTTTTCTTTTTGTGAGGTGAATACACATTTAGTATTTTAATGTAATAACTGCCACGATTTTCCATGTTAACCTAAATATATTGTAGACAGGATGCCTGTGATATTTGGCAACAATGGGACATCTGACTTATGGTTGAATGGTTCTCCGTCATTAAATGTTGAAGCTCTACTAAAACCATATGAAGACTCAGATTTGGTAAGAACTCTGAACAATGAATCACACCCGTTCATGAGCTCCTATAGTCCTATGCTAGATATGAGTTCAAAAGTGAACGAACATATGTTAAAAACTTAAAATAAATTTAATTCCCACCTTGTTAAAGTTGCTAATTTTGTGTGCAGGTTTGGTACCCCGTAACACCTGCAATGGGAAAGTCTTCATTTGATGGACCTGAATGCATTGTAGAGGTACTCTGATACACGTGCAAGTGGGTGGATAGTATATTCTCTATCATACTCTCCCCCCCCCCCTCCCTCACACACTCTCTCTCTCTCATGTTGACATAGTAAATTGCAGATACAACTCAAGGCAGAAGAGACCAAATCGATTTCACAGTTTTTCTCAAAAATGGGAGAGAAAGGCACGAAGAGCGAAGTGACACCCAAAGAGCCCCCAAAGGAGTCTGAAAAGATTTTGATGAACAAAAGTGATGATGGTGATGACAATAAACCTGAGGTTTCTAATGTTACTCTCTGGGAGCATGATAGCATGGCTATTAAACCCAAGAGACTGCAAGAAGAGCTTTTGGATGATGATAGCAAGTCAACTAGTGTCGGGAGACCAAAAAAGAAAGCCACAATTGCCAGTGGAAAACAACCTACAATCTTTTCTTACTATGAAAGAAGTTAGTGTAAACTGTTAAGTATGTTCAAAGTTTTGGTTCTTGCTCATATGCCCCCTCATCGTGTATTGTGTGTAATTATGTATGGGATGTGATGGTGAATCTTACCCAAAACTCATTTTGTTAACTTTATCTGTCTGTAGGCTTTTAGTACTGTACCAAAAATGTACTCCGTACTAGGGAAGATAAAGATGAAAATACTAAGCACCATTTTGGTCATTATTTATTTGTAATTCCTGTGCAGTGCTTGCAAAAATTTCCATGGAAGGGTAAACAGAAGTGAACCAAGGATTGATATTGCATATTGAGTAATCGTGATGTTTAGGGTGGGCAAAAATCCCGGTCCTGGTGTCCCAAACAAAAAATCCCGATACCGTCCCAAAACTATCCCGATCCATTTAGGACGCAATTATTTCATCCCGAACCGGTCGTGCACCGATATCAACCGGGACGGGACCGGGATAGCTATAAAATATCATGTCATGTCTCGGTGTCCCGTTTGAAATTAATATGTTATTTTAAATTTCTAATGCTATGTAATAGCCCAACCCAATTAAAATTTTCTAGTCCTTATCCTTAGTCTCCCTAGTCCCTAGTGTAATTTTATCTTATTTCATGTCTCTCTTAGTCTCGTTTCTTTTGTTTCTTTTAATTAAAATTTGTTTATTTCTCATTCCAATACTAATCCATAATATATTATTACGTGCGAATTATTATTTATGATGGAATAACTACTACTCCAAATTATAGTGTTGTTATATATTTATTATTTTCCAAAATAACTACTAAAAAATATATAGTGTCTTTATAGATATGATATTTAATTTAATGTGGTATTGAAAAATTACAAGTGTACTACAAAGTATAAAAATATTTTGAACTACTATTCTACTAGAGGAAATACAAGATTAGGGGGACCAAAACTTTACAAGACAAAAATTAAAAATAGTTAATTAAAGGTTTTAAACTTTTTAGGGAATGAAGCTAAATTTGCAAAAATAGTTACGTCCTTTTTTTTATGTTATGCTTATTTCTATATCACATTTCACAAATGTATATTTTTTACGGGACATCCCGAACCGTCCTGAATTTTCTCGGGTTGTCCCGGTCCCGTTTTAAATGGGACAACATTGGGATAAAGACTTATCATGTACCGTACCGTTATTATAAAACCGGGACGGGATCGGCATAAGTCAAATCCCAGACCGTCCCGGACCGTGCCCACCCCTAGTGATGTTTTTAAATTGCATATTGTCTAAACATCATTCAGGAACAAGCCACTGAGGCATAAAATATATGTTTATATATACAAACACCATAAAAGTTAAACAACTTAATCATCAAAAGGCATACTAAAATAAAGTATAATGAGGCCATAAATGCTAGGATGTCTGGCATAATATAAATTTTACTTTATTAGTTTAATGAATTATGAATTGAATCAAGTTAGAAACAGAGGTGATATCTGGAAAACACATTAAAGGGCAGCTCGGTGCATGGAGGCATCCCTTCAAAGCGAGGGTCCAGGGAAGGGTCCCACCACAACTATAGAACACATTAAGTGTACAAATTAAAAAGTGGGTTGAATAAGCCCAAATAATCCCTTAAACCCTGACCTTCTAGTGCATACGTCTCCAAGTAATTTACTTACTAGGTATGCAATATGTGTATGCCTCACTGCAATATTGCATACACCACACTCCCAACACCATAGACAATGCCTTTTTTGGGAATAGTTCAGTTATCATTACATTGTGTAATTACAAACAATTGATTATAAAGAGAAATCTTAAATTCTGTCTGATAGCTAGTTCTATATATTTCCATCATCAGTCAAAGATTCACTATTTTTTGGCTTGAGAAAATGATGGAATAAAGCAAAATGGTTCACTAAACTGTGTGCGCTTCTTTGTTATGAAGCACCTGTCAATTCATGCAATTTTGGACGCGATTTTCACTTTGGTTTATCCGGAAACAGTCTATCCAAGCTTTAGTAAGTTCTATATCATCAAAAAAGTAGCTTTATATTTATTTAGTGAAGTAATGGCTGCATCATTACCACACTTGTCTTGAATAAAATAACAATAGCATTCAGCCATTTCTGCAGAGTATACCCTTAATGAACGAGCCTTTAGTCACTAAGGTGACTTTGTAGTGATAATTATCAAGAAATGCTATAGTTATGTACACAATACTTTTCCAATTGTTATCTGGGTAATATATATGCATCATTTTTTTAACATTTGCAGCTACAGACTGCCAGTGCCAAAAATAAATCAATTGAACACAAAAGTAACCATTCTGGATGCTACTTGCTAAGAAACATTACACAATGTCCAAAAAACTGCAGAATTCAACAATAAAGTTTAAGGGCACTACAACAACTTTTACAGTCTATAGGTTTCAAGCACAGTTTATGTTTCTTCATCATTTTGCTTCAGAAAACTTTGGTACCTGATAGGATGGAACCAAGTGTACCCAACACTGCAAAAGCAAGAAGAGGACTAACATCCAGAGTATCAAAAATAGGGGGGATTATATTCCTGAAGAGATTCAAATAGGGATCACAAAGATCTCTGATAGCGGACAGTGGCTGTTTTTCCCATGGTATATTCGGGAACCAACTGAGCAAAACCCTAATCATCAAAACACCACTGTATATATCAAGCCATTTACCCATCCCAGCAGCGATCACCGTGAGCGGCGTGTTCACAGCAACAGTGGAGCTTTTTGCGGCGGCGAAAAACGCGGTCCCTGCAGAGCACACCGGAGCCCCCCATCGGCATCCGTTCAGATGCAAACCAAGGTTGTGGGCTACGACTTTCGAGACTGCGATTGCGAGCGCGAGAAGTGTCACGGCTGAGCGGGTTGACCCTGTGAGTGGCGACTCGGCGGTAGGGGATGCTTTGCAGAGAATACGCGAAGAGGCGGAAACCCTAGGAAGTTTGAAGGAAACTCTGGTTGCGAGAGTGGAAATTCGAGGGCGTGGAAGGTGGTTTTGAGAAGAAAGAACGATCGGGCAGAGATTGCGACGGTGATAACAATACAGAGGAGTTTGGAGAATTGTGGCTTGAGAAGCCATCAGAGAGGAAGCCATTGGATCTTCTGTTCTGATGGAAACGAGTATGGCCGATACGATGGCTGATTTAATTGAGGGAAAAGTATTTTTTTTTTAGGGGTGGGCATAAAACCTGAACCGAACCGGTACCGAACCGGCCCGTAATGGTACTGAACCGAATAATGGGTATTCAAACGGTTCTATAAATTTTTATCCCGAACCGAAACGGTATCATTTGAAACGGGTACGGGACCGGTCCTACAATTTGAGTACCGAAAAATACCGAACCGGACCGTTCAAAAATAATGCATTGAATTTTTTTTATATTTTCCCCATACCAATAAATCTTTTTTATAGACAAACAATTTTATAGCTCAAGTATGTATTCATGCGTCCCTAAAATAACTAAATGTGTTTATATATATTTTGTTATTTTTTCGTTTTAGATAATTTATACGGAGTATTATATTTTGGTATGTATTAAAAGATTGTTAAAGTTTTAGAAATCATTAATAACTATTCATTTCTAGTAATGTAGTGTATACAACTTTTTGTTGTATCACGTTTGTGCAATTTTACAACTTAATTAATATGGTTTAAATCTTAGCTCTCGCGGTTCAACTATTAATTTAATTAGAACTAATACTTAACCTAGAACAATGAAGAACATTGATTTTTCCTGTTATATTCATTAATTTGATGATTTTATTTTTATATTTTCAAGTGAACTTTGTAAATTTAAGATGATATGTATCTCGTTTATCGTCATTTAGCTATACTTTTTTTTAGTTGTGTTGCATTATTTGTGAATTGTAGAATTGTAGTACTACGTAAACAATTTCTTGTAACATTTTATGTGAATTGGTTGGTGTGATGATATCTACTAGCTACAAAATGTTTCCAATTTTTTAGCATGTGTTTGACATTGTACCGTACCATTTTATACCGTTCCGAAACAACATGGTACCAAATGGTTCCATCCTTAGAACCGGACCATACCGGACCGTTAGAAACCTCACGGATACATTACAGGTTTTACTAATTTACCGGACCGTTCCGGACCGCGCCCACCCCTAGTATTTTTTTATCATCAAACGAGCCTCTATTCATATCAAAAGATTCAGGATCATTACATCAAGCAAAAGGAAAATAAATCTGACACCAACTGAAACTTCAACAACTACGACTGTAACCCTATGGTGAGACTTTGAGACGGTCACCCCTGAGAGAGCAACACGAATCGCTAACCATGTAGTGGGCTTGACACAGCCAAACCTATTCCCATGGATCCAATCATACCCAATGACATAAAGAGAGGCAAAAAACTCAAACAAACTGTCAAAACCAACAACAAAAGTGGACACAAGAAAACAAATAACAAACAGATAAAAACTACAAGAAAAGCGTTCACGAACTCTAGCACCTCGTACATCCCATGGTGGTGGTTCAGGAGAAGGTCTTACCACCGGTACCATGCTAATTGATACTCCGTGACCTTTGTCTGCCAAAGGCCATGCATCAATCCTCCGTCCCTGCATAACCAAATTCATCCCTGCTTCATGCAACCAGAGTAAACGGATAGGCGACGCCGATCTTCTCCAACGACGACAGCAATACATCATCCTCGAACCTTGACCACAACGCCGATCTCCTCGAGCCATGACAGCAAATCCACCCTTCGAGTATGAAGCACAAACAACAACAGCCGTACTTCGATTAAAATCGAAGACGGAAATAGCGACCGTCCTTCGATTAAAATCGAAAACGCAAAAAGCGGTCGTCCTTCGATTAAAATCAAAGACGGAAAAAAACTCCAAGCGGCCGAAGCCCTAGAGAGAAGCTTCAACTGTTTTTACAGTTGAAAAAGCAAATGAAAGACAATTGAGGGAAAAGTATATAAATATAAATATAAATATAAATATAAATATAAATATAAATATAAATATAAATATAAATATAAATATAAATATAAATATAAATATAAATATAAATATAAATATAAATATAAATATAAATATAAATATAAATATAAATATAAATATAAATATAAATATAAATATAAATATAAATATAAATATAAATATAAATATAAATATTATTTTGACTTAATTTGTCTGATTTTGTCAGGTTTGATCTGAGCTAATATGTTTTAGCGAGGCATAACCTCATCGCAAGTAAAAGTGGAAATCCTTTGTTAATCGAGCAAGGTATCAAGAACGATAACCATGGTACAGAGAGCATTTGGACTACTCCTTTTCACCAAAGCTTCTCGCTTTAGCGAGTGCGGAGACGGGTCTTGAACCATATACTCCATCACATAGAGACCACATTACACCAGAAATTTTAGTTCCAAGCAACTACACCCCCTCAATCGTAGGGGTAGGTTCGGTTCAAGCGGTTTGGTTTTCACCTAAAACCAAATGTCGAACCAAATTAAAAAGTTCGGTTCGGTTCGGTTTTATGTTCAAAAATTTGGAACCACGGTTTGTTCGGTTCGGTATATTTCAGTCCGGTTTCGGTTTTTTCGATTTTTTCCAAAATATTTTTGTTGATTAGAAAAATAGTAATTGGAAAACAAAAAAAACTGTATCAAACTAGTATTAATAGTTATACAATACAAAAACATACATAATTAAACAAAAAGAGAAGAAACAAATGTACTTCCAAGCAATTCAATGAATTAGAGAGTACGTGTATACTAATTTAAATATTTTCTAAATTAATTAAATGCATGAGTTTATTTGTGAATTATATATAGTGTATTCGCAAGTTAAAATTTATTAGTGAATAACTTATTCTACTTTCTTTTTAGACAAATATATTTATGCTCTAAAGTTTCACGTTTTTTGCTATGTTGTTTAAAGTATACTCCGTAGTTTATATCAATACATATTTGTTCAATATAAAAACTTTGTGATAATGAACATATATACATTACATATAATATATCAATAAAATATCATTGTCATGCAACAACAAGCAAAATGTAAATTACGATTTAAAATATCAACATATTAGTATATAGAAATAGACTTAAGTGTATATACAAGTGTTTCACTTTATTAAACCATGAATATTAAATTTCAATATCATGTAAATCATAATAAATCTAATATCAAACATTAATATTCTAGAATTAAGAACTAAACAACATATTATACTTAATGAGTAATAAATAAAATAACTAGTTTTAAAAAGTTCGGTTTATTCGGTTCGGTTCGGTTTTGAGATGTGAAAACCAAAACTGAAACCAAACAACTACGGTTCGGTTCGGTTTTTTGAGTTCGGTTTCGGTTTTCTTGCAGTTCGGTTGTTTTGGTTGCGGTTCATTTTTTTCGATTCGGTTTTCGGTTTTCAGTTTCTCCGACCCACCCCTACTCAATCGATTTTGGAGGCTACAAAATTGCACATGTGCCGGCCACTTCTTTTATGGGCTAATATACGAGTGTCCCTCTCCAAACAGTCAAACACTACAAAAATTACCCGTTTAGATCACGTTTCTATCTAGAATATCATCTATGTCAACATACAATTTTTCTTTCATTTTTTAACTTTCACCTTTTCAGGTTTGTCTTTTTTATTTCACAATTGATCTCAACCATATCTCCGACTCCTGCAATTCAAAACCCCATTCTACCGTCATCAGATTTGGCATCTTCACTCCCGTTTTTTCTCTGTTGCCTTCACGCCGGCAAGTCCTTCGAATCATATCGTGAAGGATTTTCAGGCTCGTTCGCCGGACGAACGATCAGCGTAATCTTCTCCTTCCTCCCCTCGAAGGATACCAAGTGTAAACCTTCGCCGATCTCTTCTATGAGATGCGATATCGAAGTCTTTTACATAGAAATATATCAATAGCTTTGAATCGCTTTCACAAACTTGCTATATATGTGCCGATTAATGGTTCCTGGTAAAAATCTCATTCTAATTCAGTGCTCAGCTCTCTGAATCGTGCGAGAAGGTTTTCCGTCACAGAGTTCACAAAATTGATCTTCCACGGGAATCGTATGTCCGAACAGGCCTGGAAAAAGGTAATGCCTAACTTTCCTTTGCCACTCAAGTATCCTTACTACATCTTCGTGCTCAGGCCACTTCTTTCCTTACCTAATGAAGAGTCCACAGCTTGCCTTAGAATATCCTTTTCTCTTCCTCGTATCAAGTATGGAGCTAGGATTTTACAGGATTTCCTCAATTGTTCCAGCTAGGTTTTTATTTTTGTAGTTCATTTTTATTTTTCCATTCAATTGAAATTTAACATTGAAATGTTCATATAATCTTGCTTAAAACTTGTTGTTTACAACAAATGTTTTCTAGATCTTGTCTCATGAGTTTAGTACTTCCTTACCCCCTCAAAGTGCTAAACAATAGATGTAATGTTTATATGTGAACAAAGGTATTCTATACTTAATGATGAGTTTGATATTTTTTGTTATGACTTCAAAATTTTAGATTCTCATTAGTTTGTAATTACTAATTACAAACTAATTACTTCTTGAATTCAACACTTAGGATTATTGGTAGTGCTGCTATTTTGATAATGATTCATGCAAGGTAAAACTGACATTCTATACTAAAGTGTTAAGTTCTTGCTACAGTTCTGTAGTTCATAATTTTGTAAGGGATTTTTAATGAGTTTGTTTGCAACTGGTATTTGGTTTACCTTTCTCTTCTTTCCTAATTGTTCATTATTTGTTTGTGATGTGTCTATCACTTTTTTCTTTACTAACTGCTCTTGTACCTAGCTTGATCTCAATCAATATTTTTTTATAATAAACATAGTTTGACTAGTAGATGTTTGGTGTTTGAGTTGAATATGTTTGTCTGATCAAGCTATTTCTATTTAAACATTAACCATCCATCCTTTCTACCACATATATATTTGTCTTTTTTATTTCTTCCTAATAGTAATTTAAACAGTCCAAGAGCTTATTAGTGGCTGCAATGTTATTTTTTTTTTATCCAAGAGCTTATTTTTTATGTAATATATTTGATGGTTGTTTTGTAAATCTGGGTCAACTTGAAATAGCTAAAGCAATATTATTCTCAATCGCCAATGAGAAATTAGTGGTTTGACTCTTTGATTTCGTGTTATTCTCAAAACAGTCATCACGAAATTTATGTTTGTGTTTTTTCTCAAATTAAGCAGTATATTTAATCCCAGATGCAATTTTAGTTACCAGTTCACTAATTACAATTTCGTCTATTAGTTTCTTAGAGCAAAAGCTCTCCATGACTACCCATTTTAGATCTAGCTTCCTATTTGTTACCAGGGGAGTTCATATGTTCCTATGTCTGGTTGTGTTGGCTTACAAATGAAATCCTTGCAGAATTGTTCAATGATGTTAAAGTGGCACTACTGATTAATCTTTCTCGCTATATATTTAATTCTGATGACTACTTATCTTTATCAACTAAATTTTAATTTCCCCTTCAGCAATGTACTTTGATATTTCTTTACGTGTGATTAATAATTTACCCAGACTTGTCGTATGAGATGTGGAGTTTTAACTTAGGAAAGTGCAATCTTGCAGCATATTTAAGTTTGAAGAGGTTGATGAGGAGAAGGATGAAAAGAAAAAGAAGATCAAAGAGGTTTTGCATGAATGGTCTTTGGTGAAAAAGCAAAAGCCAATCTGGATGTGGAAACCAGAGGAGATCACCAAAGAAGAATATGCTGCATTCTACAAGAGTCTCACAAACGACTGGGAGGAGCATTTCGCTGTGAAGCACTTTTCAGTTGAGGGGCAGTTTGAGTTCAATGCTGACCTCTTTGTTCCAAAGAGGGCTCCTTTTGACCTCTTTGACACCAAGAAGAAGCCAAACATCATCAAGCTCTATGTCAGTCGTGTATTCATCATGGACATTGGACAACTGTGAGGAGTTGATCTCTGAGTACTTGAGTTTTGTCAAGGGCATAGTCAACTCTGAGGACCTTCCTCTTAACATTTCTCGTGAGACTTTGCAGCAAAACAAGACCCTGAAGGTCATTCACATGAACCTGGTGAAGAAGTGTGTGGAGCTCTTCTTTGAGATATCTGAAAACAAGGAAGACTACGACATATTCTATGAGGCTTTCTCAAAGAAATTAAATATAGTGAGGCTTTCACAAAGAACAAATTAAAAAGCAAAGCTAAATAATATATTGAAACATGTAATGAATTGAATTATATATTTGTGGTGAATGTTATATATGTTAAATTTGTTGCTTCTTGTTGTATTGTATGTGTTGCTTTTTGTTGCTTCTTGTTGCATTTTGTTTCTTTTTGTTGCATTTTGTTTCTTTTGTTGCAACGTGTTGCCTTTTGTTGTATCATGTTAATTCTTATCACTATTTAAGTTTTTACTTCTCTTTGCTGCCTATTTAGAATATAAACAGCCATATATAAATTTATCCCAGATAAATTTGGATTTAGGAGTGTAAAAACAGAAAGAAACAATAAGAAACAACAAAAAACAAAAATTTAAAAATTAGCAACAAAGTGAAACACAAATAAACAATAGGGAACAAAAACTTACAATAAAATAATACTAATAGTAATAGTACTTATAATAATTATTAAATTTTTTGACTATTTTGGAAATTATTGAGTTACAAAATTTATATTTTTAACTTTTTTTTATATGCAAATTATACTTTTTTACGTTTTATTATAATTTTTGACATTTCTATTTCCGAATTTTTAAAGTTTCTATGATTTTTTATTTAATTATATTTTCTAATTTTTTAAAAAATATTAAGAATTTTAATTTCAATTCTTATTGTATTTTATAAGATTTCATATGATTTTTTTTGAATTCTTTTAAAATTTATATTTATTTCGTTTTTCTTAGATTTTTACTTTATATATATATATATATATATATATATATATATATATATATATATATATTCTGGTTCTTAAAAAATATTACTCTTCCATACATATTTTTTAATAGTTAAAACATTCTCTTAGTTCATATGTTTTTTCTATATTTCTCAGAGTTTTAGATTTTTTAACTATTTTAAATTTTTATTAAACTTGTGATTTTTGTTTTATTTTTGACACTAAATATAAAAATTATATTAAGCATTTTAAAAATTCATAACAAAAAATATAATTTGTACTGTTTTACAACATTTCCCACATTTTAAAATATTGGCTTTTTAAGATTTTGTATTTTTACTTTTGAGGGATGCATGTTCAAAGTTTCTTTACGTTTTTTACCCTTCAGATTTTATCTTTTCTCCTTTTAGTAAATTTTTACATATTTAGTTTTCTATTTAAACAAAAAGGAATTTGTGCGATTTGTATTCTACGGAGTAACATACAACGTTCATTTGGGTGGAGGCATATATACGCTACCTCCTAGCTACTTGCTAGCTATGTAGCAATTGATACTACGCTAAAAGATGCCCTGGAGCAGCCGGTGGCTATTTGTGAAAAGAAAATTGTAATTAGTCCACGGTTGAAAAAAAAATTAAGTAGTAATAAAAGTGATATTACTTTCTCTTTTAAGTCTATTTGTGATAATTTCCCAATGATTTTTGTACCCACTCTTATACCAACTTTTGTACACACCTATGTTTGTGAAGTGTTTTTTTTTCTATGAACCCCGGCTCACAGACAATATTTTGCACAGACAAAATATTGTCTCTGAACCCGGGTTCACAGACAAAAAAAAACTTCCACAAACATGGTGGGTATAAGGTGAGTATAAAAGTGGGTACATCAAGCATTGTCGTAACCACAATCAGTTCCTAACATTTACATGTCCAGAACACAGATAAATAGGACCCGTACCATGTGGAACTCATGGATGGTATGGCTCTGGCTCACACATCCCTATCAAATTACCCATCATAATCTCATGTAATAAGTTTGCTTATTCATATAAGAATGATTCGGTAACCTACATCTATGAAATTTACTTTTGCAATATGGTGTACTTTAATTCATCATTAACTTGCATTTTTGGCAAACACTCGGATGAAGGTCTCGGTCGTCTCCACTTCCTCTTATTTGAAACTTGTGTTAGTACAAGGATCGAGTAAAAGCCTTTACACTGGGTCACGAGATTGAGCAAATTTATACACAATCCTAATTACGAGTAAATTAAGAAAGAAATTCAGTAAAAGGCAATGTAACACTCATATTTGGCCAATTTGGGATTATTTTATTCTTTTAATATGACTAAACAAATCAAAATTTGATAATATTTTACTTCTATTTTGTGCAATTTTTAAATCAAATCAATTTCCCAGTTGCCTAGTTCAATCCTATATGTAATGGTAATCAGTATTGCTCATTTGCTCATTGATGCCCGTTTACGATATGTAATAAATGCAGCGATTAGCATCGATTTCCACAGCCTCTTCAAATGAATTAAAGGTAATACTCAAGAGAATATTACCCAAAATAAGACTAAAAAGGTTTGAAAATTCCAAAATAGAACTGTCATGTTTTTATTCCCAAAATAGGACTAATTATTGTCATGTTTTGGCAGTACCAAATTTCAAGCATGACAGTCCTATTTTAAAATTTTCAAACTGTTTTAGTCCTATTTCGAGAACATTATTTCCTAATACTCAAAGTAATCAATACGAGCAGCTTATAATTTTATATACTTTTAAACTAAACGAAATAAATATTGGAACTTCCATGGGGTAGCTGATACCCGTAGTTAAAAAGAGTCATTTTTTACTCTTAGCGGAGATTCATATACTACATCCATCCCCTTTTACTTCTAACATTGATGATTTTGTTCTATTTAGACATTCCACCTTGATTACATTACATTTATTAATGTATTAAAATTAAATATTTGAAAATATTGGTAAATTTCTCTCATTTTAAAATTTCAAAATCTGAATGTTTACTAATAATAAAGAATTAAAGATATTAATGGTCAAATTTAAACATTGACAAACGTGAAATGTGAAAAGTAAATTGTTAGCAATAAAAAAAGGAATGAAAGGAAATATTTAGCACTTATATTATGAATGAAAATAGCACGTAATAAAAAGGGAAATTTTCGCAAGCAGACATGAGTGTTAAAATAATATCACTATTTTCTCTTTTTACTTTTTATTTCAAAAATAGACTAATTAAACTGGTGTTTTCATAAATGGACTGTAGTACGGAGTATAAAACAGCCGCGTTTGATCTCCCGTTCTTTTAAGCATAGCTGGGTTCGCATACCGGAAGTCATCCCACATCCCCAGTGATGCTTCATAGACATATTAATAATAGTGCCCCCACTACGGCACTACTCATTTTTAATTTTAATTTTTAAACCAAACCTAAAAAGCAAGTGTTAAAAAAGAATAATGAAAAATAGAAATGGTGAATCTAATTTGAAAAATAATCCGTAATAAAATACTAATAAATAATAAAACTCAAATTGAAGAATAGAAAATCTCAAAATTGAAAAAATGTAATAAAATTTTAATAATAAAGACAAAAATCTAAATTTTATAACTAAATCAGGTAAAAGTAAACAACACTTATAAAAAAGCGTTAACATACTCTATATAAAAAGCACATAAAACTGTAAACATATAAACTTGGAGAAGGTTAAAATATGAAATTAAATTTTATAAAATAAAATGTAAATAGAAAATTCTTTATAAAAATATAAAATCAGAAAATTTAATTAAACTAAAAGGCATGAAAAATAAAGAACTTTTAAAATAGTAACGAAGTAAGAAACTTGAAACTATTACAAAGCATGATGTTTATTAATTTTGTACGAGTTACAAAGTTTAATTCTATTTTTAATTTTATTGTTTATTTGTTGTTGCTTGTTTTGTGTTTCTTTATGTTTATTCTTGTTTCAAATTTTGAATAATTTGTTTTTTATTGTTTCTTCATGTTTTTGTTGATATTCATAAATCAAAATTTATCATTTTAGCTGATTGGATATCTCTAAATGATTTTTCTATTCCAAAGAAGTCGCTAATATAAGTATAAACCTAAAAAAAGTAAAATCAAATTCAACTATAAAAAACAATAAGCTACACAATTCAACAACATGAAACACAAGGAAACACAAGGCAACAAAAAGAAACACATATAGTACAACAAAAAGCAACAAAAAATAACATATAAAACTATCACAATAAATACATAATTGAATTTATTACATTTATCAAGAAAGTTATTTGGCTTTGCTTCTTATCATCTCTTCGTTTTATACATCTTAGCACTTAGTTTCTCAAATTTGACTCTCTAGTCTTCTTTTTTCTATTGATCCTCTTGTCCTATTATCACCTTCATGTGCTTCTTGTCCTTTTATGCATCTGCAATAGGAATACAATTTAAAATATGACAAAAAAAAATAAGCAACTACAGAATACTAATTGTTTATAATAATATTTGTAATAGCTTCCCTCCCCCAAAGAAAGCTAATACCTTGGCAAGTAAGCCATTTGGAGCTACACTACCCGCACTTCAAGTGAGGCAGGGAGGTCTTATTGAGTCACTGTAAACACTTTGCCTGAGCTCTTCAGCCACCTAACAATGCGAGTACCACAACCACATCATTGATTTGCAATGAAATCAATCTCACAGAATGCAAAAAAACAAAAACATAATAATTGAAGTTAAGGTGAGGTTTGAGATTTTAATTGAAAATTATGTGGACTTCAAACATACTAGAGTTTGTTTTAAAGCTATTTCTTCACCTGCAGTTCCCCTATCTGTGCAAATCTTTGTTATATCTAGGTATGCCTCATGAAGACTTGTTGCCAAGAAGTTAGGATCATATTTCTAGAGACCGTGAGATGGATTTCATATATACAAAACTTAAGCAAATCAAAATTAGACATAAAAATGGGGCCTTGTAAGCACAAACAAATGATCATGTGTTGTCAATCCACTGTAATGGTTGTACTTGCAAGCAATAAAGCCAGACATTGCTGCCCGAACCCCAAACTTGCAAGCCTGTCACACTAATAACCAACAAATCAAACTCTTGAAAGTTTATAAGCAATACAATTGGTTAAAATTTTAATAATTAATCCAATAGTCTCTCCACTAATGCAAAATATTGAATTTAGGGCCAGTTCCAGAGTGGTCATCACCAGCAAAATTGATAATCTGAACATGTATTTCAGCACTGGATTAGAGTCCAAAGCAAGACCACGAGTACCAAGGGCATGCATATTATAGATGTCTAGAATGTCCAGTGATTGTTCACCAGTAGAAGAAATGATCCCACTCTCTAACTCCAACATGTTTACATCAACCACATACAACTTTCTACGTTGATTATCCATAACCTTCTCACCTTCTGTGACAATTAACATATGCCCAACC